ATGAAAAAGCTTTTGAGTGCTTACAGATCCTACAAAGTATTTCCTTTGAAACAATTTAATAGGCTGGGTGGGTAGGGAAGTCATTCTGAGGTAGTGTGTTGACCAAACAAGAATAATTTCTTTGTGAAAATGGATTGTGACCAAGTAGGATTGGTGACAGAATGTGCTGGGGAAATGAGGTGAACTTTGCCAAGTGTCCTACTGGAGTAGAACTGTATTCTTTTGATAAGAATTTGGGTATCATATTTTTAAGTTATAGATAAGTAGAGTAGAAATGGTTAAAAACCTTTTCAACAAGTTGCCAACATCTCCATGTAGACTGTATCATTAGTAATTTATCCAAACCTTATTGACATTATTTTTATCTTTGGTCTTATCCAAAGTTTGTGTACGTTGTTCTAAATAAAATTATTTAAAAAAATCCACTTAAGCTTTAATTTAAAACTTTCTGAAAATATGTAAAAACTATAACTTTAGCCCCTATAATTTTTAAAAACTGAAAAATGATTGCCTTGCCCAGCCTCAGTTCAGTGAGACTGAGAGAGTCTGGGTGCTTTATTTATTATTAATAATTTGATATTCCAATGATAATCAATCTTTTGTAAATTTTATTTCTGGTTATATTTGTCATCTTGCAATTTCAACATCAAGAATTCTTGAGAAAGTGCAAACATTAATGCTACATAAAGACTGGTCCCGGTCTCGGAGGTTAAAACTTTAATCCTTTGTTTGTATATTCATTCATTAATTTATTTAAGACCATGTCTAATGTTTTCCTACGGCTGATATTTATTGTAAAATGAAAAGAGACAAACAATAATAAATGTGCAAAGCTGAGGAAAGGTGGGTATGACCATGCCCCACTCTGCTAAGACTCCAAAGATTTCATGAAGGAGATAGTCCTGCAGCAGCGTTACCTGAGTCAGACTGCACAAATATGCAGAGAATCTGGAGGTGGCAGTAAGCAAGCTCAGAGGAAATGGGAGGGATTGTCCTGAAGATAGATGAAGGATGGAACAAGAGCACAAGGCAAGGAGGACTTCTGGCTGTACATGGTTTGAATATAGTAGATAGCTAATAGGAAGAAATTTGAATAGGAGACAGTCTCAAACTCTGGGAATCCAGGATCCTCATTCCTCAGGCCCCTAACTAACTGAGAATTCAGATGCACACCACATACTTGCTTTACAGCATCTCCTTTAAATGAAGTTGCTTGCTAATGTATTCACCGATGCTGCCCCAAAATCCCAATTTTACACTTTCATTTCAGTATATAGTATATCTCTAGTTTATAATCTGAAGTATTTTCTGAGTGTCCTTTCATTCATAACTTTTTCATCAATTTTGTGCTTTACACTAATCCATACTTGTACAGCACAAAACAGTTGGAGAAAGTAAGATGTTCTGACATTGACACAAAGCAGAGTTGAACAGGCTCATGTTAGGATCACAAACTTTACCGTCATTAGTGTTTCTAACAGTTGAGGGCATCCATATCAGCATTGTCAATAGTGTATGGGTTAAAGCATCATAGACATGACAGTCATATTATGATTCCACACCATGAGACTTCAGGAGTCATTTATTCAGTTTCTAGCATGAGTTTGCTAAATGAACATATGGATATTATATAAAACAAACACATAAGATGACATTTTATTCATTTGTGGAGTACATTTGTTTCACTGTTTATTCTTTCATCTTTAGAAATCATTTCTAGTTTAAAGCCACTGTAAAATACTTTCTGGTTTGTGTATGTGGTTTGTATATTCTGTTTTACTAGAAATTTCCTATCCACCTGGAAAAAATATGTATTGTGCCAGTTTTTGTATTTTCAGTTTGCCTTCTGGGTTCAGTATAATTTGTTTTAAGAAGTTTTACCACTATTATTACTTCTTCTTCTTCTTCTTCTTCTTCTTCTTCTTCTTCTTCTTCTTCTTCTTCTTCTTCTTCTTCTTCTTCTTCT